GTCAACCGGAAGGTTATAATTAAGCCAAATGACAACTGACCAAATAATAGTGGTTGGTACGAGTTACTTTGAATAAATTCCCACAAATTTGTTTTAACTTTCGTCAAGTTTGAAAAGCTTTGCGAACGGCATTCGAATTTTTGTTTCACCGGAGTGTCTGCCGATTAAACAGGCACTATCCTGTGACACTGATTCGCTACTTGAAACCATCGTCAAAACTGAAAACTGGCGTCTGTGAAGATTTATCAAAACGCTAAACCAAGAAACGTGATCAACTAAACGATACATCTCATACTTGGTATCGCTAATTCATGGTTATCACAAGTATTCTTCCTATTTCGTTTATGATGATAAGGGGACTAGTAGCTGAATTTTCCCACAATCAGATAAGTAGATTCGAAGGTCGATTCAACCAGAAGACGACGGCGCATCTCTCTTGACCAGCTGTTGATTGGCTTTACTGAAAGATTCATGCTGACGCTGTTTCCAAGGTAATCTCTTTCAATTCGTGCGTCACATGTCGAACATCCTCAGAGCAAGGTATCATCGTCACAACCAAATTCAAGCTAACGAGTCACAAAAACTCACTGGTAAATCCCTAAAAAGTGGTACGTATATTCTACATCTGGCCTCTTTGATCAAGTAGAAAGTGATTTGGTTAGTTACGGTCATATGTCAACTTCGAAGCCTGTGAGTGTGTGTGTATGGCTCTGTATGTGTATGTGCCTGTTTGTGTTTGCTTATGCACGAAACCCGCAGTGATGGCTCAAAGTAATTAGGACAGCAAAAGTAACTTCTGCTTTCGGCCATCAAGGTTTGATAACCACTAGCTGTTCCTTTCAACAAACATGTTATAACCATCATTCCGATTGCGCAAGGTCGGAAACTCGTCTAGTTTTGTCGATGGACCTATTTTTTGTTTTTTGTTTTAATGCGAGAGAGAAGGATCTTTTGGTTAGTCATGATGTGATTTCTATGTACACAAGCATCTCAGTTCATAAACCTATTGAAGCAATAACACTCAGCCCAGATGAGCACCCAGAAGATTCCATAAGTAAATTATTGTGACTTGACTTCTCATTTTCAAGCAAAAGCTGCTTGGAAGGAATTATTGAATTGACTTCATGCAAGAATGAAGAACAATTTTTGGGGAATGAAGGACAATTCATAAAAAGACATTAATGCCTACTTCATTATTGTCTTCTTTTTAGAGGAATTTCTGGCCATCTTTTTATCTCAATGCGTTAAGAATGTTTGGGCTCATGTACCTGCCAACCAATTCGGAAAGGATTATGCGAACACAAAACGTATATGGGTCCGAAAATCTGAGCTCACTAAACACATGACCAGCACAGGATACTTCATAGACTGTTCAGAAACACAACCGCTTGCCGGTTAAGTCTACTTCATAACAAAGCGTAAGATTAGTGGGGCTATAAAAATTAAGGAAAAAGCCAACATCCTAAATAGTGGGAACTAATTAAGGAAATAGAATATGAACAATTTATGGCTGTTGGAACGGCTTAAGTAGAGCAAGAGAGAGAGAGCGGAGAGCAGGACATGAACATTGCATACACACAATAGACAATATAACATACCTAAACAAGAGTAACTACCAGACACTTTCACTCAGAATGCAAATGAGCCCAACAATTAACAATCATGAGATTCCTCGAAACCCACGATTTCTTTGCAACTGCTCCAGTTGATTCACAAAATGTCTGTCGTCGTCTTCTGTTGGAATTCATCTTCTAATAATTTCATTACTCACATCTCCCCACTCTATGAGAAGTGAGTTGTCGTGGTTGCCGAGTGAAATTCTGTTTTGTGCCCCAAAAAGCTTTTCCCTCCGGCTTCACGGATTGACTTGTCGGTCGGCAACAAATCGAGTCCTATCCTTTGCGCCCCGATACAGCCCCCAGTTTCTTCTCTTCCCCAGTCGCCCCGAGCAGAGGTCACCTCGTCGCCGAGCCGACCGGTCGTCCAGCACCGGCTCAGCGACCATGACGACGACGAACTGGCCGCACAACCGTCCGTCTGGTGCAGTCTGCGAGTCCTCTGCGTGCAGAGCTTCACGCCGCCGGATCTCGAGACTGCACATCGTCTCCTCCATTTGGCCGCCGTCGGACTGCCTCGACTCCGCCGGCTTCAGGTCTACCCGGCCGCGTACGCTTTCCCCGGCGCCAGCGAGGCCGACCAGCGAGAGGCGCGTCGGCACCGACTCACTCGGGCCAACGGTTACCTCAAGAAACGGGGTCGAGTCCGCCTCGAGGTCTGCTGACTGGCAGCACCAACCGAACTCGTCGGCATGCTTGATGCGCATCGCAATGGCACGAGCATTCCGACTCTCCGCCCACCTCGAGGTTCGTCATTTTCACTCACTCCTGCTGTTCACAGCACCGTTCTCCTCAAACATATACGAAGAAAAGTTGCGTCTCGAGCAATCTTTTGTTGCATAATGGCTGAGCTTACTTCCATTTCGAGTGGAAGTGTTGCGGGTGAAGAGATTCGAAGCTCAGTTCCACCAGAAGACGATGGCGAAGCTATGTGAAATGGAATGGGAAACATCAGCTTTGCTCGTGTCGTTGGGGGACAATTCAACGAGCAGTCCTTCATCATCTCAAACGAAATAGGGTGAATCCATCTCTCATGTACGAGCCAACTGGTAGGCTCGAAAAGATAACTTATTCTCGACAAAAAGTCAAATTGAAGTCGTCTGGTATGATGAGGCTTTCAGAATGGGCATACGAAGAATAGGTACATTTCTAAGAGGCTGCTTGTGCTTCATTGTCAGATATTCTTTGGGCTGTTTGT